TTGAATATAATGAGTTCAGACACATTCTATATATACAGTTTGATGGGAGAAAATGTAAATTTAAGTTCTAATTACTTGAAAAATTGTTTGGAAAGTAAAAATTTGTAATAAATGTGAAAATTTGTAGAGAAATTATATAAAAATTTAAAAAATTAGAAGGATTAAGATTTTGTTAAAATGCGTGAAGAAACGAGTAAAAGAGAGCAAGAGAAAAATTCAAAGTTATTGTGATTTTGCCCATATTTGGTGGAGATTAAAATCAAATTTTTAGTAAATTTTGATAAAAGTTAAACAATTATGGATTTCATAAAATATGTTATTAGAATTAATTGTTAACTTTGATTTAAATTTAAAATTTAGATTTCAATTGATACAAAACGTGACTTTATAAATAATAATAATAATAATAATAATTGGGGATTCGTGTGACCCCTAGGACAGCCTCTGAGTCCGCCCTAGAGGGAGTGAGAGATGGGGTTAGAGAACCAATTGTAATATTTCTAATTATCGCCAATACACTCATTAGTAGTAGAAATCAGGACATGCAGGCCACAAGAAGGCTTTCATGTCCCACCATTTATCAGAGTTTTTATTCAAAGCAACTAACACTAGTGCTCGAGAGATAGGTGTCCATACACTGATAAAGAATGTATGGATTCTTGAGAAGAGTTGTGGTGGTCCTACTCCCCGATTGCCGACAATGAATCATGAAATTTCGATAATCTTCTATGTCTAAATGAATGGGGAGTCTGCTATAGTTTTGAATTTTGAGATATCCAAAAAAATCTAATTACTAATCAGACTCCCTCATTTATGAGATAAATAATAAGAGATAGAGAATATAGATTCTAACCCGATATCACTGGTTCAAATCCTACATAGCATGATTTTTCATTCGTACATCGAATTAGATTGAATCATTTTTTGGTAAGACCCACCTAGAAATATGTCACTGACGCGAGTAAAACCAAAGCAACGATAGTATTTATTATTGACATCAATATCATCCATGATGTCCTCAGCATGCCGAATTTAACATTAGGGGATTTCCACCGAGCTACCTTAGATTTTTTTTTAAATTTTATTTTAACCTCCATCTCTAGAGGTGTCTCTAATCCAAGTTTATTGTATGGTAAGACTTCATTCTTACTACTTGATCACGCCTCAAGAATTTATAGTGCGTCAAAATTACCTGATCATGAAACAAAATGGAAAATTTGAATATAGAAATCTTCCTGGAATGTGTTTTATGCTAAAGAAACAAGAAGATTAAATGGACTGATTTTTTTATTTAATAAGCCATTGATTTAATTTCTAATAATAGCAGAATTTGACTTTTCTTCTTTTACGGGGCGAATCCAGGAAAGAAGTTCAGTGGGGGGAAACAAAAAAAACTTTGAAAAAAAATCTGAAAACCTAAAAAAACCCGGACAAAAAAAAAAAAAAAACTAAAATGATATAGGACGACATCAATAATTATCCATGTATGCGGGTGACAATCTTGCAAACCGCGTACACGGGTGATTGTAACCGCGTAGGTGAGGACAACTTGATATGATGGGATCAATAATTTTCTATGATGGACATTGAAGTAAGGGTTACTTGATATGCACCCCTGTAAAGTACCACATCAGAGGCCATCGACCACCATGGGGAGCTCTACATTCTAATGATAGACCGCCTACCACCATGGGGGTGCTCTACGTTATCATGATAGACCGCCAACCACCATGGGGTGCTCTACGTTCTCATGATAGACCGCCTACCACCATGGGGTGCTCTACGTTCTCATGATAGA